ATATGTAAACAGTGACACTTTACTGCGGAGTTAATTAGTCAACTCCATAGTAAAGCATACATGTAGATGCGCCCACAGTATCTTTGGACCTTTTGCACTCCTTATCCTAAATTCCACCGTCATTTTAAAAGGAACTGCAGTTGTGACTGCTCCATGAGGTTGGCATGTTTCTCCGTGAGGGAAGAAAATAAACATTTTGACTTTTAGATAAGTACTTATTAACTGTATTTGCAACCTTCTTTGCCCAGTCTACACTAGGGAAAAAAGCTGTGTTCATTTCTTAAGGAAGGATCCTTCTGCAGACATGCAAATGTGTAGTTTTCACATGCTTTAGCAGGTCAAGATAAAACTTAGGCTGTCTCATATCCTCTCTCTTGACTGGCTAGCTTATGTTTTAACTACAAACAGATTTTTCTCCAAAAAAAAACTTACCTCCTATTAGTTACCAGGTTTCACTTAATCTTTCCAGTTTAAAAAAACACCCTGGTTTCTGCTTTCTGCAACTTTTAGTAGACCACTGGCTATCTGCTGAGCATGAACTGGTCACAGCACATTGGCTCCCTTTTGTCTCAAGAAGATAAATTACATTAAAATAAACTACAAGTATATTAATAATGTTATATATAACTGTGGGCTCTGCTACAGGCATGTGGCTGCATTTCTGGAATCAAAAGTGAATGTCTCTTTACTTGCTTATCAGTTCAATCTACAAATCTTAGACTAACCTATGAAGATGAATCAATTCAGCCTCAGGCTATTTGACCATCTGTATTTGGCCATAGAGGGAGTAACTTAACCCTCCTCTCACTTCTCAGAAGTATCCTAAATTATTCATGTTGTCTAATGCATAAGCAAATTAGTTAAATAGTTTTGACCATCTGTTCTGTACACTTTTGAACAGCCAGCCCCTACACTGTGCTGCATGCTCAGAACAGTGAGGTTGAGACATTCTCACACATTCACTGGGCAAATCCAATCATCAGCTGCTATGGCAGTCACATGCCACAGCCTTTAAGTGCGACAAATGTAAAACGCCTTTCTACTGAAGCTGGAATCATGCCAGACTGGTGCCCTAGTAATACTATAACCTCCTTCTTGGACCTTTCATGATGACAGACTAAACTAGAAGCAATTTCTTGTCCAATCAGAGAGGGCTTGTGCCTTTCATAACAGAAGATGAAACTAAAATGAGAAGGTAAAGATATCCTAGATCCAGCAGCTTAGTGTCACTCTTGAGTGGTGACAGAATTTGATTTTTCCAGACCATGAGGGCTCTGTTATGGTTTTTTATGCTTGAGGATTATGTTATGTTAAATAGCCTGGACCAGAAGGTCATTGTGACAGGGCTCCCAAGGCCCGATGCTCACATCAGCCCGCCTTCTGTCTATGGGCAAACCACCTGCCTACTCTCCTGCCATGCCTTGTTGTAAAGTAATTAAGATGTTATTTAGGTGGGAGGCTGCCCTTCGAGCATCCAGCTGTAATGGGTGGTACATACACACTTGGACCTGCCCTTACATGTCTCCCATGCCTTGCAGATATCTCACTGTGTGTTAAATCTCCGGCTCAAGACCAGGCCAAACCAGGCACGCAGTCAGGTCTGTCACACACTGCCCTCTTGGGCCACACACACACTGGGGCCTTTCCTGTTCTGCCTGCTTTCACACGTGCCCCTTCACGCCTCAATCACTCTGCTCTGCTCCTTTAAGCGGCTCCCATCAGCCATCAGGCTTTGCTGTCCTCTCTTTGGTCAGTCCTAGCACAGCCTTTTGGGTCTTTCCATGACCCTCATGTGAACTAGGCTGGGCGATTAACCAACTATGGGCCAACTTCACCCCCTAGTCCCTCACTGGGCCACTTTGCCCCTTCCTTGGGCCAACACTCCACCCCTGTGCTGGAGTCTGGGGTCTTACACCCCTGCAGGCTCAGGCGCTCCTCTCTGAGCAGACCTGGCCCCACCCTGCACTCTCGCTAAGGCACAGGGTCTTACACCCCTTAGGGCTCAGGTGCCTCTGAGTAGAAGTACCTGGTCCCAGTACTTCCCTCCAGTAACCCACTGGATGATAGGGGCTGGGGTTATTGAGGCACCCCAACCTGCCTTTCACTGGGGAAGTTAGCGGTCCTGTTATTTACATGGGGCTGCCCTGTCACTGGCGGTCCCACCAGGCCTCCCTTCTCCAGCAGGGTGCAGTTTGGTCATGCCCAGGACCAGGGGCCTCCTCCTTCCCCATAGCCTTTCCAAGATGTTCCTGGAGCAGTAGCTCAGCAAGGTGATGTTTCTCCCTTGCTGTCTGGCAGCAAACTGCTGCCACGGGCCAGAGAGCTGGCTCTTAAATGACCACCCTAATCAAACACCTGCCTGGTGCCTGCTCCAGCCCTCAAAGTAACAGAGCACTGAAGCTGCTCTGTCACAATCATTTTGATCTGGAACAGAAGTTCCATAAACCGGTTTAATTAAATCAGTTAAGTTTGTTAATACATCCAATCACATTTATCTTAAACTAGTTTCAGCCATTTTGAAAGTGGCTTACATGCACTGAACTTCTGTTCTGTTATAGGTTTAAACAAGTTGTGGATCACTTAAACTGGTTTATGTGTAACTTCTGTCCCTAGCCTATGTGTTTAATTTGCTTTATTATATATAAACTAGGCCAGAAACATTTTCCTGTTTTTCCTCTTTTGCTTTTTAAAGAAATTCAGAATTTTCCATCTTGGAAGATTCTACAATGGGTAAAAGGAAAACTCTACCACAGAAAGACAGCCAGGACTTTTATAACATCACAGCACTGAAGAAGTGAAATTCAATTCATTGAGAGAGAGATTTTTAGTAAGAGGTTTAAGTCTATGTTTGTTAACACCTTTTGAATACAATTGCCCAACAAAACCTGGTAAGAAATAACTTTGCTAAAAATTCAAGATATTTTACTTTCCAGTTAGGTTGAAATAGTTCATAATCCAGTTCTTTGACACCTTTGATATTTCTTTGGCAAAACAAGTAAGATCAGATTTAACAGGCCTGATTTTTCTAAGGCATAAGTCCTAAAAAGAGGGAAGAAAAGGGCAGAGTGAGAGAATCTTCTATGTGAAAGCAAAAAAGACACAACCCCAGTTTCTTTTCACATTTGTTATCTTTAAAGCATAGTTTAAACTTGCACTGTACACAGCACCAGAGCATATTTTAAGTGGTTTTACCTCATTCTGCAGCTTTGGTATTTGCAAGACTGAAGTACAGATCAAAAACACCTTTAAAAGGATGGGTTACTCCCCTCTACACTAGATAAGAAAATTCCTACCAGCGCAACTGCTTTGGTTGTAGCCCCTAGTCATACTATTGTTCTGTGTCACTTATCCTAGAGCAAAGAAAAATACTACGAGATAAAAATGATACCATTTACTAGGCCTGTGTGAAGCGGCTAGTATTTGCTTCAGATTCGGCCAATTCGGGGGACAGTGATTTGATTCGGTGATTTGAACCGCTGTCCTGATCGGATTTGGCTGAATCTGATTTGGAGATTTGGCTCCTGCTGAATCTCCAAATCTCTGAATCAGGCAGGCCAGGCCCATCCCTCTCAGCCTGGCAATGGCTGCCCCGGCTCCCGGCTCTTTGGAAAAAAAAAGTCCCAGCTCAGTGGGTGCTGCTGGGTGGGAGGCAATCCCCGCTGCCCCCCACTGCCCCGTGCTGCATGGGCGGCTCTGCACAAACCCCCCTGACCTTCGCCTTTGCTCCCCCAGATCCCCCACGGGCCCCCACCTGGGCCAGCTCCGGCTCTTTAAGAAAAAAAAAAAAAGAGAAAAGCCCCGGGACTCACCGCTCCTGCCAGTGGGGGGCGATCCCCGATGCCCCGTGGCAGGCTTTGCACAAGCCCCCAAAGCCCCAAGGCTGCTGCAGGAGCAGTGAGTCCCAGGGCTTGTCTTGGGTTTTTTTTTCATAAAGGGCCAGAGCTAGCTCAGGCAGGGCACCTATGTGGGGGCTGGGGGGGAGGGCAGGGGGCTCGTGCAGCATGGGGCAGTGGGGGGAAGCAGAAATCACCCCCCTGACCGGCAGCACCTCGTGAGCACCAGAGCTTTTCTTTAAAGGGCTGGGAGCTGGGGCAGGCTGGAACGGGCTGGGGTGGGGGGCTGGATGGGCTGGCAGGGGTTCCTCCATGGTCCCCTCCCCCATCTCCCATGAAGATTCGGAGAGCTTTGAATTGATTCAGACCTTTAAATTGGTCCCCTGATTCAATTCGGATTTGGAGATTCAACCGCCGAATTGGGACAAATCTCCTCCGAATCAAATCACAAACTGAAGCTTCACACAGCCTCCCCTGGAGTAAGTAAGTGACTGCATGAGGTGCATGCCAATGGGGAATTGCGTAGGTGGTGCCCTGGCTCTAGCAGTGGTTTTCATTTATCTGTTAATACAACAGACACAGGCAGCCAAGGTTCCTTGGGTAGATGTGATATCTTTTATTAGACCAACTGAGTAGTTAGAAAAAAGTTCTTAGCAAGCTTTTGGACGCAGTCACCCTTCGTCAAGACCAAAAAATGTTTTAACCTTGTTGGGATATTCCCCTACCTACTTCTCTGACACACTTGCCTTCCCAGGAATGAGGCAGGGAAAAGTAATGTAATTAGCAACTGCATTGTTTGGCTGTTTGTCCTGAGAACAACACTGTTGATTGACAGGGAAATGGTTTCCACCCATTTAATCTCTCACCACACCTTGTTGCTGTTTTGAAATGTATTCCTGCTGGCTCAGGATCAACATGAATCCAAGCGAAGTGGTGCTGGCTCCTACCCTGGGGGTCTTTAAGACAAGGCTAGACAAACACCTTGCTGGGGTCATTTGACCCCCGTACTCTTTCCTGCCATGGCAGGGGGTCAGACTCGATGATCTGCTCAGGTCCCTTCCAACCCTAGAAACTATGAAAAGGGTTAGGCACCTCCATTTGTTTACACAGACTGAATCCCAATTTTACTTTTATTCCCTGAGAGACATGTACAAATGGCGCCAGACATTGAGGACAAAGCAGATTTTATAGCATGTTAACATGCGGCAACAGACCCCAAAGGAACCTATGAACAGACTAGCTGGGGTGACTGTGCTGGTATAAAATGAGTGCTACTTTCTTTTCTGTAAACGTAAAACTAGTCCTTGGGAAGTCTGTTGTCTCCTGGGAAACGCTCATTTCTCTGATACTGGAACACAGTGAACAGAAGTTTCACTGAATGTGGGATCTACTTCACAGCTGCATGGCAACAGAGGATTGCTAACTCAGTCTGGTATTGAAAAGCACCTGGAATCAAATACACCAGTTTCCAACCATGTCTTCCCCTACTTTGTTTCAATTTCTTTTCCCTTGAACCTACTTTCTATTTTTTTTAATTAAGTTCGGATTACAGACTCAGTGGGAGAGAGACCTCATCTTCCTTCTTATCTGCAAACTGCCTGGCATACTAATGCGCTATAAGTAATAAGGGTGAGTGGTAATTTTACAGATTTTTGCAGCTTCTCCAGCCCTGCTTCTGGGAAGAGGTTGGCCCATATGAGTAGTGCTTGATACTTTGCATGCTATTCTTCTGGGCAAATAAAAAACAAAAAGCAGTTATTATTATTTTTTAATATTGCATTATACCCTCTGGTCCTCTAAAGGGCCCCCCTTGCCCTCCTCCCCACCCCCTGAGAATAAAAAATGTTCTGAATGAGCCCTCACCCCTGCACCCCGAGACAGTGACATTTTGACATGAAATACTCTAGGGGGTCCTCCTCTGCAGCGCTTACCCTCAGCTCTCTGGCACACTCAGGTGAGACCAGAATTCAGTGTCCTGTTCTGAGGCTAGGAAACTATTGGGCGCTTGTACATGTGACGGGGTTTTAGTTACTCTAATAACACAGGCACGGACCCATTCACCAGCATCAGCAGGGAACTTGCCATGTTTCTCAAGATGATATATTGATAGAGCTTTTATCAGGGAAAGCTGTGGTAGCATAGGGATGGGAGGGCTGTCAGGAAAAGCCAAAACACTACTGATTATTGCTAACTAGCTACTTTATTTAATGGTTCTCACAGAAGTACCCGAATGCCTGATTCAGCAGGGAGTGCACGCTTGGATTACAATCTTAAAACAGCTCATGATTAATCTTCAGAATGTCACCATTAGGCTTCAGAGTTAAAAGCCTGTTCTGATAAAAAGGAGAAAAGCTAGTTCAGTTTAAGGACAGTAGTTGTGGAAAGTCAAATGGACACAAACTGGACAAGAATAAATTGAGTCTGGAGGTTAAAGGATGGTTTTCAGCCATTAGAAGAGCAAAGCTTTGGAATGGTCTTTTGAATGCAATAGTGGGGGCAAAGGACCTGAATTGCTTCAGGATGGAGCTGGATAATTTTATGGAAGGGCTAGTACAATAGAATAGGGATGCTCTTGGGATAGGAATCAGAGCATGTAATATGAGACTTCATGTGCTTGGTATCCCCATGAAGGAGATGACAGGAAATGTGATCACTGTGTGCTTGCTGGGGTTGCTTATGTGTGGGGGAAATGTGGTGATGCAGGGTTTCCTGACTGCTGGTAGCACAGACAAGATTTAAGACAAAAGTTAAACTAGAGAAAGTGATCCTCAGCAGAGAAGTAGCCTCTTGGCATAAGGGGGAGGTGGGCAGAGGAGTGGTTTCTGCATTGAGGTTGGAGGCTGGCCATGTCCTAGGGTTCCTGAGGTGGGAGCATACTTTTGAGGAGGTGCCTTAGCTTGGATTAGTCTACATGTGCACGTGTGTGTGTGTGTTTCTTTTTTTTTGCTCATTCTTATGAAACTTATGTTTTAAATAGGTTTAATAATATTTGTTGCATTTCATTACATCCTATTCTCATATTTTGGGATTGCTGCTGGTTGTCTGCAGGGGCCAGGAAGATTTCCTTCCCTTTCCCCACCCTGCAAGGATTTTTTTTATTTCTTGGGCAGGGAAGGAGAAGTTGCCCACCTCTGAATTGGCACAAGGATGCACAGGCACTTCCTAATGGTACAGAGGTTTGTAGGTTTTGCTCATGTGCACAGGATTAAAGCACTGGAACAGGTTACCCAGAGAAATGGTGGGCTCTCCATCCTTGGAGGTTTTTAAGACCCAGCTAGACAAAACCTTGGCTGGGATGATCTAGCTGGGGATGGTTCTGCTTTGAGCAGGGGGGTAGGACTAGATGACCTCCTGAAGTCCCTTCTAACCCTGATTTTCTATCATTTTGTGATTAAACAGATCTCCAGATCTGACATCGGGAAAGAAAATTCTCCCCAGGTCAGATTAGTGGAGACAATTCTTTTACCTTCCTCAGTAGCATGAGACATGACCCACTTCCTAGGTAAAATATGACCGGGTGTTCTTAACACATTCCCTGCCACTGAAGGACGACAAGGCCTTGGTCCTGCCCTTCTTTCTTCTCTCTTCCTGAGATACATAGTTGTGTTGGTTTGCTTGTTATTGGGGGTTTTGTGGCTGTGGTCTGCAAGACGGGCTGGAGGAGATGTGTTTGTGGACTATTTGGGGCAAAAGTTTATTACATCAATCCCTGCTAACACAGGGAACCGGACTTGACGGCATGGAAAGTCCCTTACTGCCCTCTGTTCTTACCCAGACTACATGAGCTGTACACAACTGAGTCAGGTTTAGATTATATCAACAGCACAAGTTTCATGCTATTTGATGTTTATTTTAAAGTCCCAGCTCCTGGAGTCATGTGATCACATGAAAATCTCATCTTTTTAAAATTTCTACTCCTAAAAGAGAAAAGCTTGATAGCATGTTAATCTTACAGAATTAAGCACCAGAAGGCCAAAAAGAAAACAGCCCCACTACTTTGTGTTTCTTTCTATTTTTGCCTCATAATAATAAGGCCCATCTCATGATTTGTGGGATATTATTTTTGAACAGATGGGAAGAACTTTTGGAGTGTGCTGCAGCACAGAGCAGACTACTCTCCTGAACCGTAAAAAATGATGGATGTCAGGAGCAGCAACATTGTTCACAGAACTCAAAACAGGCAGACAGAAAACTGCTGACAGCAACCATTCAGTTTAGGGACAGTTGGTCCACACTTAAAAATGTTATCAGCATAATGATGTCAGTTCAGGCCATGATCTTTTGCTGACATAATTATACTGCTAAAAGCCCTGGTATAGTTATAGTTACACTGACATAAGCAGGAAAATTGCAGCTTTGACTTCCCCAGTATAATAAAAGTGCAAAACCTTAAATTCCAAGAAAACTCACAGAAACTATATATAGCTCCTGTTAATTATTTTTATCACGGGCCTTTTAGGGTGCCTGTAATTCACATCACGGATATTTTCCCAACAGCAGTGATTTATCCTCACCTTCCCTATAGCAATTAAACCACCCACCATAAAGCACCAGAACCAAGGTCTTGGCCACAAGATTAAACTGTCAGAGGGATTCCAAAACTTCTGTTAGATCAAAAACTGAACAGAGAAGGAGCTTTGCATCATACCAGGTGGGAACAAATGTATTTTTTGGAGAGAATGTGTCCCTAGGCTCAGCATTAAGAACACCCTGCCCAGCTCTTACAAGTTCAAGTCTTGGGACTGACACATTAAATATTTTTAGAAGACAGATTGTCCACAGGAACCAGGTGCTTGACTATGGGGCTTTAGAAACACTGTAGTTAACACCATTAAGTCAACTAGCAGCCAGTACAAGAGTGCAGGTGTGCTCTAGCATATCTACTCTATTCAGATGTGGGGCAATAGCACTCTGCACTAGATGTGGTGTGACATCCCCCATTTATCTCCATGGGTATGGGTAACTCCAGTCACCTGATGAAATCTGAATGTAAAATGTAATTATTTCACTGCTGATCATATTAATGGAATGATTCAGTCTGTCCTTTAATGGTTATAACAAAAGGTTGCTGGTTCACAACCATGACTCATAGCTGCTACCACAATAATGAATAATAGTATGCAGTGTGATTGGATTTGGTGGGAATAAGGCTGTAGATTTTTAAGATCCAAATACCTGACACATCTATTAATTCTTCTGGTTTTAAGAATAGGAATCTCAAAGGCAGAAGACACGAGATTATCTTAGAAAAATTAAAAGGACTTGAGGCTCATTTTAACGCGAAAGACTAGGTGAAATAAAATTAGAATATCAGTTTTATTTAAAAACATGTAAACATTACATTTTTTACTATAAAATATATATGGGTTATGGTGATTTTGCTGAACTTTCAAAGTCTATCAAAGGAAAAATATTTGCTTATTGTGGCAAATATTACAGCAGTTTCTATTAACCTCATTTCCTGATGAAAGTTTCTTCCCCATTACATGTGGGAGGGGGCTTTAGTTTCCAAAAATCCAGGAGAAATTAGTCTGACCATCCCTTGTGAATCCCCAGTTTCTATACAAGGCCCTGCTTTATGTCAAATAAGTTTCTCAGACACTGGTAGTTCAAAGCCATGGAATGGCTCCTGGAATACTCTGCCCATTGTACTAGATGGACACAGTCTCACCTTATCAGCAGGGATCCTGATATATATTAGTGGTGTTTCATTTTAATCACAGAAAAAATGTGGATTCTGGGTTACTTTTTTTCATCCAAAAATTGGGGATTTTTTTTTTTTTTAAGAGAAAACCAGGATCCCTGCATATCTGTGCAGCATAACGACCACAGAATTGTCTTTTCAGCAACATTATCCTTGCTATCAATGATTTACTAGCCACAGGAGTGAGGGGCACTGGGATGGGAGTAGCCATTGATGTTTACAAATGGGTCCTGGTATAAAAAACGGTTGAGGACCACTGCTGTAGTTGAAGCCCAATTCTGCAAGCCTTGTATTCATTTAATAGCTCTCTGTTGGGTATGGTGCTGGAGTTAATACTTTGCAGTATGAATGAGACCTGTTAGAACACATTGCACATTCAATACCTTTCATTAAGACCTTATTCACACTGGGATATCAGCCGCTGACATAAATCATGTCTGCACAAGTACAAGCCACACAGGCAGCTACAGTCCCATTACAGGTAAGGCCAGAGAGTATCTCAGGACCCTAAATGACTGAGACACTTAAGAGTCCAGTTTTCAGACAAAGAAGGAATTGGAATTTAGACCCTATATGCACCAGGAGTGCTAGTCCTATACTAGGACTTGGCAAAACACTCCCAAGGGAGACTTTATAGCCCTGCATTAAAATCACAACACTCACTCTTCCCTTCCTCAAGCAATACAAGCTACATGGGCAAAATGGCAGTTTTGCTAGTATAACTGCATATATACTGGGGGATCCTGCTAGCACAACTGAGTCAGCCACACTTCTTTGCACTCCTAACATGACACTGCCAGCAGAAATCTGTGGAGAAGCCCCAGGCCTCCTTTCCTGCCTCCTGGTTCTGAGTGAAACAAATTATAAAGGACAACAGCGAAATTTTACTAGCATAACTAGATTAGACTCAGGGCAATTGCTGACACAACTGTGTTAGCTGGAGATCAGACCAGCCAACACATAGACAAAATTAGTAACCCCGAGAATCCCAAATCACGCCAGTGATTTTTTTTCTTTTTTAATCCTAAACCTCATTTTCAGGATTGAGCTAAGCAGTTCCCACAACTGAGACAGAGCTGTCAGTGGGAACCGTCTTCCGTTTGTTTAGGAGATAGCTCTTTTGCTGTGGAAATGGTGTGGCTGCTATTTGGCAGCAATGTTTTTGTAACTTGCTTCAGTTTGAGCATTAGGGATCAGGGAAAAGGACCGTTCATGGATCAAAAACTGCTTAAAAGCCAGGAAGCAAATGGTTTGGCTACGTTTTTCACAAAGGGAGAAGGTAAATGGGCAAGTCCCTTGGAGATCCATGCTGGGACCTTTGCTGCTCAACATGTTTGTAAACGATCTGGAAAAGGAGGGGAAAGAGGTGAAGTTTGAAGAGGATACAAAATGATTCTGCATATTCAAATCCAAAGCTGGTTGTGTTGCCCTACAGGGAGATTTCACAAAACTGAGTGACTGCGCAATGAAGTGGCAGATGAAATTCAGTATCAATGGGTGCAAAGAAATGTACACTGGAAACAATAACCCAGATTGTACATACGCAGTGATGGGCTGTGAATTATGAGTTTAACCATTCAAGCAAAGAATCTTGTAGTCACTGAGGAGACTTCTCTAAAAACATCATCT